CGGCTTCCCTCCCGTCAGCCGGTACCCAGCGTGGTTTCTGTCAGGTCTCAGGAAGCGCACAGCCCCGTGTGTGCGCCAGAACGGCAACTTGAAGTATTTCACTGTTCATGTGGAAGAGGGGGTAATGAGACTTGATGAGTCTCGCTTATGGTCAAGGAGTTTTAGGAGAACTCTTCTTAGGGACAAAATTGCAAAATCGGGTGTATTCACGTTGTTGGGGGGGGGTGTGTGTGTTACCTTTATCTCGGTGTGATCCCCTTAAAAATGTTGTGCCAAATCTTGAGGTACCCTGAAGATTTCTTATTACTGGGGAAGGCGTTACAAAGTAGGTGACAGGCTCAGTGATTTCACACTTGGAAAGGAGATGGTCTGTTACTGTTCTATAGGAAGGGTTGAAATAATCAAACCCATTATGAAACATCCTAAAGATCATCCTTGAAGAAAGAAATGTTGTCCCATCACTCTAATTCGAGGGTAGGGTAGGGAAAAGATTGCAGAAACTTTTGGACACCCTTTTCCACCACTCTTAAATTTGTTCTTAAAAAAGCACTACTGTTAATTCCGCTGGGGCAAAGTGCCCTGCAAGATGCTGTGCATAACTGCGTAACAGAAGTGTTTTCTGTTGTTTAACTGGCAGCTTTTGGCAGGTACTGAACTCAGGCATGTGAGAGGACGTGAGACTTGTCTCTCTGGTATCAGAAATGTTTAGATTTACAGTTAGAAGAATATGCACAGTATGACTAATGAGTAACCGAGACTGTATTGGGGTTATGCTTTGTCACAGCTTTTGCCTAAAACTCCTGGTTTGAGTAACATGGGGTTTTTTCTTGCCTCTGTAGGCTGGTTGGACTCCCTTACATATTGCCGCTTCGGCAGGCCGTGATGACATTGTGAAAGCCCTCATTGCCCGGGGTGCTCATGTAAATGCTGTCAATCAGAACGGCTGTACGCCCTTGCATTATGCAGCCTCCAAAAATAAGCAGGAGGTACGTTTGCCTGTGCTACTAGAAGTGGTGGTGTTCTTGGAAGAAGTATTTAGTTATATTAACTTTTCCTCCTCCTCCCTCCCTCCTTTCTCCTTCTACATATTCAGATTGCAATCATGCTTTTAGAGAATGGAGCTGATCCAGATGCAACAGATCACTTTGAATCCACCCCGTTACACAGAGCAGCAGCCAAAGGAAACCTAAAAATGGTACAGATCCTTCTGCAGCACAACGCATCTGTTAATATACGGGACTCTGAAGGGAATACTCCTCTGTAAGTAATTTTTTATTTTTATTTTGCGTAATATAGCATGATCTCTATGAAAGGAAACTCCATTACTTCAATTCCTTGTTTTAATTTCTCGTTGCCTCAAAATACTCCCTTGCTTCACACCCCTATGTAATTTAAAAGGATTTGAGAAAATCATACTTAGTATTTTGCCTAAGTGTGTCTGTACGTACCTACTTTAATTTGTGTTACTACATCTACTGAAAAAGTCTAGAACACCTTTTGTAGTAATTTGGAATACATTCGTTTGCCACTAGAGGGTAGAAAGTGAGCTAATGACATCAAAGTCAAAGGAAACTGGTCTTGCAGGCTGGCCTACTCTGTCCTGCCAAGCAAGAACTAATTTTGGAACCTTTTCTTCACCTCTCTAAAGAAAATAAGTTGCAATTTAAGTACAGTCAGTCCATTGTTTGATACTACCTTGGAGATCAGTTTGAATCTGTTTTGAAGTTGGTGGCAAAACTCTGCCTTGTCTACAGTGGAATCAAGATTTTGCCATGAATAAGATCAAGCGTTATGTTTTAGCTGTATGTAAACCCCAGTATTGTCCTGGAACACACATGTTTATTCTCAAGATACTATACCAAATGGAAAAAAGCGTTTGCTGCATTTGCAGTAACTCTACTTAAGATTATTTTTAAGCATCATATGGTTTAGTTTATCACTTTCAATTCAAATAGTGATTACTATTTTCCAATTTCACTGTGGATTATGTGCTCCTTAGATTTGCTGACTGCAGAGCCAAATCCTAATCTAAAGAAGTGTCTTAATGTTGCGAGGACAATAGCAGAAGGAACGTTCTTGAGTTGCTTAATGACAGCAGAGTGACTGGACAGCAAGCTTTGGAATCTGTGTAGGTAGTTGGTTGCGTGTGGTTTTGTTCTAGGATGTATCTTCCCCACCCCCAACATTGACGCTGTCGTTTTGACGAGGCATAATTATTGCTCCTCATAAGTTGGGACTGTTCAATAGTGGCTGTGGGTTTCTTGTTCTTATTACAGTCATTTAGCCTGCGATGAAGAGAGAGTGGAGGAGGCAAAGCTGCTGGTGTCTCACGGTGCAAGTATTCACATTGAGAATAAAGAAGAACTGACCCCACTGAAAGTGGCAAAAGGTGGCCTGGGAGCCATACTTAAAAGAATGGTGGAAGGCTAGTGGGGACTTGTGGCTTGAGTCTCTTTCTTGTTGTGTTTGTATTTAAGACTGCAAACTTCGTGTGTTGGTAGTTCAGCTAGGATGTCATGTATGGGCATCAGCATGGTAACAAAGTGTGTATCTCTAGCTTCCCTTCAAGTACAGTGCCAAAACAACTGTTTGTACTTCTTTGTACTACTTTGTTGACTGATTTTTAAAGTATTTTTCAATATCTTGCAGTTTTCTTTCAGTTTCTGATATGATCTGTATAAATGCGGTCATTCCTTCTATTTCAGAATGTGGTTTAGGATTATTTCTTTCAAGCAACAGGACCAAAAATGCTTTAACCATTTAAATTCAATTCTATTTTGGAAGCTTATTTTAGGTTTCGTTTTTGTGGGTACTGGCTCTCTTCTTCAGATGATTCTGAACTACACCTCCCCCTTTGTAGAATGCAGTTTGCTCAGTTACTCAGATAATTATATCCATTTTTACTCCTCTTAGTCTAGCCAAGTGAGGTCCAAGTGTTTAAAGCTTTTTCTGTTGTTATTGTTATGCTGTTTCTTTGAATCTTTAAATATATGTATTTGATTAAGTGCACTGGACCGCTTGCAGAATGCAGGTGCAGTTTCAGGGTTACCTCTGCAAATATACTATTGTATAATGAATGGCTCTGGATACTTCTCTGGGATGTACTTCAAATCTAATTTTATTTACTCTTGGTCCTTCTGTAGATTTCTGTTCTGTTTCACTCCCATTATGTAGCACCGACACTTGCAGTTTGCTGTCTTATTTTATAACAGAAGCCCAATTTAATCTCTGTTTACTCCTTGGCAAATCCTGGTATTAAGTTATTAGAAGGCAGAGCTAATGAGCCTGGGTCTGAAAAGTGACTTTCTGTTCTGATGTTGGTAAGATCACTTTTAACACTTGTGGGATAGATTTTCCCTTCCTGAACAAACAATGCTGATGAAATTCTGTGGAATAAAGAACTTCCTAAACAGCAGTCTTTGGTGTTATAAAACTTTATTAAACATACATGTAACAAAACCATTATTTTCTAAATAGCTTGTATTTTCTAAATAGCTTGGGATGTGAACAAGTCGGATGAAACCCTGCCATCCATTACACAGTATGGAAATAGAACGCATTTGTTCTTCAGCTGCAAGGAAAGGTTGAAATGGAAGATGACAGTTTCTACAGTTTGACTTGTAGGAATTAAGGTAATGCAATTTATTTTGATAAGCAAGACAGAAACTTACAACCAAACAAATATCTTCATCAAGTACTTTAAGTCTATCTTAGAAAGGAAAATGCAGGTTAAATTTCACCGAGGGTACCTATTGGGAGCAGGAGGGATAACTTGCCTGTACAGCAAGCTCTGGCCATGAAGACCTTGCTTGAAGGAGGAACCTGGCTGAGTAAATGTTTCTTATATATTGTGCAGACACTGCTGAAAACTTGAATTGAGAAAAGGTGAAGTTAGAGTTCTGAGTTCTGTGTTCATCCTTGATCTTTGTGTAGCAAAAATACCCTGCCACAGCTCTGTAGCTTTCTAAATCCACTTCCCTAGGAGATGGTCCCTTGAATGTTGGCTTAATATCTGGTTTCCATATTAATGATCCCTGCTCCCTCAGGAGAATATAAATGGGCCATGCAGCAAAGACTGTCGGAACATCTGAGGCAAACTTTGAAAAATGTTTCTGCATCCTGCATAGCTCTGCAGGGTTTTTGAGCTACACACTGTGGATCAATACCTAATTTGGCTTGTGCTCTGCCAAGAGCATCAGCGGAAATCTAGGAACAGTGCCCCATCCTTTTTAATAAACTATTTTGCATGAGAGAAACTTCATAATGAGAACAAACATCTGCCAGAAGGCTTACAAAAATATCTCAATGTGTTAAGAAACTCCAAATAAATGTTATTTTCCTTACCTTCCTCCTCGCCCTCAGCAATCTCTCTTGCTTCTTATTTTTGCTTTTTGTTTGGGTTTGTTGTTTTTTTTTTAATTCTTTTATTTTTTTTAATTTAATTAGAAATATGAGAGGAATTATTAGTCTAGAACTTGTGTTCAGCTGTTCTTTTTACATAAAAACATAAACATAACTTAAGCAAAATCTACATTCTTTAGCAAATGTAAGACCTGTGGTGTTCTAGGAAGATAGTATTAGCTATAGAAGGTAATTACAGCTTCACCAGCATAAGTTCCTATCTTACTGTAGCAAGTTATATAAGGAATACATGCAGAGAAATTTGTGGTGTGATTAAGGAAGGATTATAAAATTATGGTAATGACCACATAACATATTCCCCCCTTCAATCACAATAGTGCTGTAGCAGAGATGTGAAAGTCAGAAAGCTGTTGCACTAAGAAAAATGTAACTAAGATGCGTATGTACAGGAGATGACTTCAGAATAACTAATACAACTACAGCAGTGTCATGAAGAAAGTTGTTTCCCATGAAGGGCAAGAGTAAAAGAATGCCTGGGAATGTCAGAGAAGAAATTACTTAAAATTAATGCCACTGCCAGCCAAGTCATGGGCTCCCTTGTACCAATAATTGATTTGAATGACCTCATTAGGAAACTCCTTTGGTAAGAAATGGCACCCAAACAGGAGTACGTAGTACTTACTCTTCTCTTACTGTTACTGAGCATGCTTAATGTCATAGTTCTGCATGCTTACAAAACTTTGGTTGTGAATATCAGAAATTTTCAGTAAGCTTTTAAACCTAGATTGAAGGATGTGCCTTTGAATTTTTCATAGCACAGTTGCCTCAAGAGTCAATAAGAGAGAGATACCTGATTAAGAAGGGACTTCCATGCAGGTCACGACTTAAGGTTTACCCTGGGTATTTTGGAGAGAAAGGAATGTAAGGATCCGCTGGTAGAATATGGCAGTGTTGGTGTTGGTAAGGGTTTGGCCCTCGCAGTCTGGCACAAGCAGTTTTTGGCTAAAACAGTCTTATAAGAACACTGTAAAGGCTCTTTTGCTCTGGAATGAGGCTAAACACTGGGACACACCTATCAAAGACAGATATTTGAAAGCCAGAAAATTTTGTAGGAAGGGCAATGAATACAGTTATGCTTAATGATCCAAACTGAGTCTTAATCAGGACCTCATGCCTTACATCTTCTTTAAATATTGATTTTTTTTTTCTTTTTTTTTTGTGGTCACTTTCTTGATAAACATACTTACAGCTGTAGGAGCTAAACCTGAAAATTTTGGCACAGATGTATACTTTTATCTATTTTAAAGATGACTGTTGCATATAACTGATATTTACAGGCTAGGAACAGTCACCAAAGGATTTATGAACATTAGATCCTATAAAAGACTTGTGACAAAACATTCCAGATCCCTGAGCCAGACAACATTTTTCTGCAGTGCATGAGACTGAAACCAGTGTCCTTGTGTCAGTGAGTATTTGCCTCATGCTGAGGCTGTGTGTCTGTATTCACCTAAGCCCTGTAGTCCTTGAGCTCTTCTGAAAGTACCTATCTTTGCCCTTTTGGACAACTGAGTTTGCTTAACCTTAGAAACGAGGCCCAGAGAGAAGAGGTGTCTAGCGATCAAAGTGTATATGGCCCTTTTCTCCTTTCAAGAGAGTGCTCATTACTCAGCTGTTGGCTATTTATGTGGATGCACTACTTACTTACCTTTCCTCTTGTTGCTTTCACCTATAGAAAATAAAGTTACACTGGGCTAAAGAGACCAGAGGAAAAGTATCATGAGTTTGTGGCTTAGTGGGTAGGGCAGTTGCCTGGAAATAGAGTTAAATTATCTCAGGCAGAGGAAGCAATTCAAACTACTGTGTTGTATCGTAGGCAATATTCACTTCTAAGTTTTGAAAGCAGCTGTATCTGCGCGTCATGAGGAACCTGATACTCTGTGTGCCTGCTATAACAAGCCTTGCAAGGGATTTAGATTTCCAGCTCCTGTTTGGAAACCAGTCAATCGACGTCTGAACTGGGTACCTGAATGCTAGTTCCATTAAACTGAAAACAAGATCCGCTAAACACACAACTCTGGAATGCTGGTGCTTTGGGAACTTTAAAGCCAAGAAAAGGTTACTGTTAACAAAATGTATTCCATGTCAGGTAGCAACAAAGTAAATGTTTCCAGGATTTTTTTTTTTTAGCTTTAAGTGAAATTCAGACACAGAAAATTGCATTGGTCCAGGTCTCTCTGCACTCTGATGACATTGATGAAACTTCTTTTTACTTGCAAAATCAGATCCTTTAAACACTGCAATGTGTTGGCCATGATGATTGTTCTTGGTGCGGAGGAAACCAACACCGTTGGCCAACACTTTCTGGACAAGACTGCTGTGCTTCAGAACTGTATGGGTACATACAGCATTGCTGATAGTTGACTGGAAAGCTCTTGCTTTTAAGTCAAATGCTTCAGCCCATTTCCTAATTAGTTTTGCAAAATAGGTTGGATAAACGTGGGTAACAGCCTTTAACGCTTATATTTATGTATCATTATAACTAGATAATAAGTGAAATTTGGTTAACTTTAAAGGCCAAATCTTCTGCTATTCATGAAGTGCGTGTGTAACAGACCCCTTTCAATCTCCAGCCCAGTGGGCCACAATACAAATGCCCGTTTAAGTTTTAGTCATGCTTCTGTGTTAATTCAATGGCAACAATTTATGCATAAAGGGGTTCAAAGCTGACAAGAAAAACTATACTAAAACTCTAGGCTATTTCTTCTTTTTCCGCTTCTTGCTTCTCATAATTTTGGGGTGTTCCGGAGGCTGCTGTTTCATCAACGCTAGGGTATTCATTTGTCGCATTGCTTGGTGGAACTGTGGTCGCAGGAATGTTTTCTTCATTAGGTACCTGAACATACTCTGCGTTGGATTGTTTCTGAGCCATTTCTCTGCAGGAAAACAGGATGAGTGTTGTGATTTCACGTGTTGAAATCCCACCTACACTAGAGTCTTTCAAAAGAAGGGGTCTTTCTAGTTCTGTTATCTAAACAGTAACCCCCTTATTATTATGATTCTGTTTCAAGAGCACCTGAAGGCTACAGCATCACTGCTGCTGAGACAGAGTGACAGAGTGTTAGATAATAAGACTGATCTGCATCACTGGTTTAAGTGATCCCATTAAAATAAAATGGATTTTAGTATGTTTAAACGCTAGGCCAGGACAGCAGAGTAGGAAACTAAGTGCTGGCAAACAGTGTCAGAGAAGGGGTAGCAAAACACACTGCTTGGTGTGAGCTTTCTGAGAAGTTCCATGCAGATCTGGTGCATGATTCAAGTACATTAAAAATAGAGTGCAGTCAGAAAAGAGCTATGAAAAGGCTGAAATCTATAAAAATATTTTTAGTAACAGGTATGAATTCCATTTATCTTATCAAAACAGTAATAAACCCACTCCTGATATTTGCGCACTTTGACATTTAAAAATATCAGATACTCGTGGATTAATTCAATGTAGGAAGATTTATTAGGATCCGAGCACAAAATTAGATGTTAATGCTACATCAATTGAAAGCAGAAATAAGGTACATGAGTGACCAGCCACTGGTCTGGATTAGCAGAATTCCATATCAGGAAGTCTTAGGCCTGTGCTACAGGGAAGTGTCCAGATGACATAATGGTTTTTTCTGGCCTCAGCTGCATATATTAATTTAGCATTTAACATCATGGGACTAAATACAATCTGTATAGCCTATGAGATTATCCCTATTGTAAAGTTTTGGCAATTTAAGGAAAAATGAGCAACCAAAGCACAGAAGAAAAGACATTTCCAGAGCAGGATCAAAATGGACATTCTGGGCTCCATTCTGTTGCCTAACCCTTGTGTCTCCTGCCATTTGAGATGCCTTAGAGTATCCCAAGCATGTGTCCTGTAATTTCAAATAGCACTGAACTGAGTCTGTGTTTAAATCCAGTAATGTACAATCCCAGTAAATTTGCTGAGGCAACCTTTAGCTGCTATTTCTTTTTTTACTTCCTCCATCTGCCATTAAGAGCCACCATTAACTTCTAAATATTAAAAACTTTTTCCAACTCACCACTTCTAGTTTATGTTGTTTAAAAAACATTTACTTTCCTATTTTAGATACTGCTAAGTGGTAGATGCCTGTAAACACAGGGAAGAGGGCAACTTCTGTTACAAGAGCAACAGCTTAAAAGTCACACAAAAGCAAATATACTCACTCTGGAAGTTTTCTCAAAACCTTCAAAAATGTATAGAGTAATTACATTTTACTTTAGTTCTGGGTTATCAGCACTGTTTTACAGAAATAATTGTCTTAAAATGAAGCAAACAGAAACTCTTACTGCATCTCATTGCTTGATGACTTCTTCTTCTTTGCCTTCTTGGTTAAGACCCAGACAATAATGCAAATGATAGCAGCTGCCACAATTGCTCCAATAAATGCTCCAACAACAATACCACTGTCTGAATCTGGAAAGACAAAAAAAGATTACTTGACTTTTTCAAAAGTATTCTAGCAAAATCCCAAGGAAATTTAATGGAGGGGCCTTTAGCAGAAAGAAGGCATTGGATTCAAAGAACTAAAAAACGGACAGACAGCTCTATTTTCCAGGAGGGAGGCCAGAAATTCTCTAGGAAAGAGAACTGTGCTTTTATGACCTTTGCTGCCTCATTTCTTGTTGGGTAGCTCCCTACCCCAACAAACGCCGTGTTTATGCCTGACGAAGGGAAACATTAGGCTGTTAACACTGGAAATAGTTGAAAGCCTTTGCTCTTCAATCCTTGCGAACAAATTCTGAAATTCAGGTTGCCCCTTTGTCTCTGTCTTTCAGCTGAGATGTAAAATGTATGATCTGATCATTTGTGAGCCCCCAAAACCTTCAGTACAGCTTGTAGCTCTGGCCTGCGCTTCCATGGTATAGGCCACTGAGTAATTGAGTGACCATTTCAGGGACATCTCTCGTGGCTGGCTGTACAACATCTGCTTGGCTCTTGTTGAATGTTACTGGTTATGTGAAAAATCTGCACACAGATGTGGTTGACCACTGCTTAAGAACAGTCAGGATAAGGTATTTTTAGCTAGTGGTCACATCTGCAGTGCCCCCTGGTCCTTCTAGTACCACATTTCATACCATATACTACCAGTGATGGTTGTAAATTCTGGGGTGGGGGGACCTCAGTGGGACTGTTGGCTGAAGAAATTGCTCTAAAATCCTTGTCTGTCAGTTCTCAGTAAAGGCCCTGCAGTCAGAGGCATGTTCAGCTCCTGCTCCCAGTGGGAAATGAAGCTGAAGATGTTAAATGAGTGGTCTAAGTCAGTGTAAATTCTGGGCATGCCTGGATGAAAACTCTGAGCTCTCCAAAGCCCGTTCTGGTCTTACTTGGAAAAAAAATCTATGCTTAAGGGTTGTTACAGCATTTTCCTGCAAACCGTGCACATCATACATCAAATATGTCATCACTTTCATGCGTTAAACTTACGTTTTGCAGTTAGGTCAAGCTCGCAGGTACTGTTCCCCAGGACATTGCTGGCTATGCACCGGTAATACCCAGTTTCAAAGGTGGTGAGATTGCCAATGTAAAGAATGCCAGTGTTTGGATCTGTGACAGAGAGCAGGTACAGGTTACCCTTTGTATACTGCAGAGGCAAACGTTTGGTAACGTGCAGAGGTAAAGGTTTTCTTTACTCTGTATTTCTGAGAGCTATCAAGACATTAGAATCAGGGTTCTCCAGTTATTCATTCATTTGGGGTTTTTTATATTCTTTAAATAAAAAACATTTACCTGCCTTGAAAATTACTGCAGTGGAGTCTGCAGGAGTGTATTAGAACATGAGGAGTAGGCCCCTAACCAGTCTGTCTGATGTTTTAGCCACCTTGATACAGTTGCCAGTGTAAATTCACAAACGAAAGTGTAACAGGTACCGAAGATTTTCGGGTTGGAGGTCTTAGCACCTGAACAACAAATTGACTGAACTTAATGTTGAGTATAAGCTCACTCAAAATTCCAAGGTAAGGGGAGATGTAAAGGCATAAACATTTCTCCCATTTTAACAATTTAAAGTAATGGCACAGACAAGACTTTAACGTGCCATGCAATTTTTATTAAAACAAGTAGAAAAAGTGTCCTGTGTTTGTGACAAGCTATCAGTTGATTTGAATAAGTAAAAATATGATTTTGTGACATTGACTGTCAGAAAAGGCCAGTAAGTTTTAACTCCCTTATGTGATACACAGTGTTTGAAATGGCTGGTACTATGGAATTCCAGATCTTGAACACAGTATGGTAGTTCTGTAGTTACGTACCAAGTTTTTCAGTCACAGGCTTGAGGCTATTCTCATCTACTTTGTACCAGCGGTAGGTAGGGTGAGGCAATCCTTCTTCACATTTGCATAAGAGGTAGATTAGATGGCCTTTTTCAGGCGTTCCTTCTATTCTGCAGAACGGTTTTGATGGTTTGACTGTAAAATAACAATGAGGAGAACAGAAACATTGTGAGTACATACCTGGGGCTGCAATCGTCCACCTCGAGTTCTGGTAATGTGCTGCTATAAGTAAAGAACTGCACCCCAGCTACAGATTTCCATCTGAGAGCAGAGTCTTGTTTATGGCTCTGACCAAAGGCTCTCCCGTAAAGATTTGAGTAATATTAGATATATGTACATGGCCTAGGATATATTTTTATTATCTTTTCTTCCATTTGCATACTAAGTAGTATTATGGAGGTGTTGAGATGAATACTATCAATTACTTTAATTATAATGATCCAATTTGTCATACACCATTCTGCCACATAGCAGCATCATTTTCTTTAGGGACACAGCAGGAACTTTTCCACACAAAGGAGAGAGTCAAGACCCAATTCTTCAGTATAGTGCAGTTGTGGAGGAAATAAATTAACTACAGTTCTGTTAAATAATATATAGCTGTTTTGATAGCATTTCCTCACTTTGCACCCAGGAGAGGATTCTGTGTTCACTTACACCTATTATTTTTCATTTCCTACCTATAGATACGCTGTTGTGGTTCTTTAGTTACCATCAGTGGAACTATACCAGCAACCAACACAGCCCAATTTTGTGTGCCTAAAAGAATAACCTGTCTTTGTTTTCAGGTGAAAAGTACACTCTCTTATTCAGCTGCTCCGTGATTTACTATTTGCTTGGGGAATTTTAGATGAGAATTAACAAAGGTGCTTTGATTTTTCAGGGGTTGAGTTTACATACATCTTTTTCTTATCCCTGGCAGATAGGCAAATATTGTTGGAATCACGTTCTCATATGACTTTGATTTATCACCCTGACCGGGTATGAATTCTCAGTAGTAAAGCAATGATTAGATGGGGTTAGTACAAAATTTTATCTTATTAGGTAGTAAAATGTCTTACTCCATTGCTTTTCATCTTTTCTGTCCTGCCTGTTTGTGGTTGAACTATTGCTTTCTTCCGTCCAAAACAGACTTTGTACTACTTCCATCCAACACATACTAAGTTTCTAGAGTTTCTGGGGATGAGCCAGAAGCCTTGGGCTGTATTGCCGCCTCTCCCTAGATTTACACAAGTCATCATGACCAACATAAAATTAGTAAAATTTTGGTCTTTGCTGGGGCTGGATTATACTAAAAAGTAATGGTTTCAGAGAGAAGTTGTCGCTCCCAGCTAAAGGGCTTTTTGTTTTTATCAAAATTAGTTAGTAGTACTTTGTTTTCCAACATGAAAAAGGTAGTTAAGTTGAGTAATTCCAGCTACCCGCTTACCTGCTGACATTAAGTAGCTTTTTGAGAGCACAAAGTGAATCTGAAGGCCACTGGTGGGAGAAAGCAATGTTACCATGGGTCAAGCAAGCGTAGCTGCAGAGTGGTATCAGGTCTGCTTTGTCTGGAAGCTAGAGGGCACCCCAGGCTCTGCCTGCCTCCAAGCCCTTGGAAAACATCTCTGCATCATGGGCCTTGTTTATCGCAGTTCTGTTATTCCCTCTGGTCCTACGTATTTTGAGCCATGAATTCAGTGTTTCATAGTAAGGGAAGGAAACTAGAATACAGCAAGAGAGAGGTGAGGCACTTACCCAGCACACTGACAATCACAGATTTTTGACTCTGTCCAGCGCCATCCTGTGGGCTGAAAACTTCACAGGTGTAGGAACCAGTGTCTGAGGGCTGCATGTTGGAGATTGTTATTGATGCATTCCCTGGACTTGTTGCAGCTGTTATCCTGTTCTTAAACTCTCCATAGGAGTAAGACTGGCCTCCTGAATAATAATAGATCTATAATAAAGAATCAATTGTTAGTTTAATAACAAGACATGTCACTGCCGCTTTATTTGGTACTCATAATTGGAATATAGTTGATTTCTGATTAAGCCAAGCAATGTCACCCCATTTCTTGTCCCCTGCCCCAAGAAAGCAGAGATGAAAACACGGCACACTTGAATATTTCTAGTGGTTTTTAAAAGACAAGCTTTTCAGAAATGGGATTTTTTTAATTGTGTAAATGGACAGTAGCTAGTTCTTTGTGGATATTCCAGTCACAGACTGATGCATTTGTGAAAACAAAAGTTCCTCTGAAAAAATGCTGACATGCACAATGAATGGTGGTACTAATTGAGGCACGGATAATTTGTGATATTATCAATAAGCATCTCAGTAGAAGATTGTGACAAGAATGGACTTGTCATTGCAAAAACTGGATGGCTGCAGAGCTTTCCAAATACAGAAGCTAGCAAACAGAGAACTGAAATGAATCCACAAGACATAGGTCTAAGCAAACAACGCGCCTGATCTGTTGGCAGTGAATTTGGAAGCAATAAAAATGCAGTATGAGAACACCAGCAGAATCATCATACATGCAATTAGAGCAACCATGCTGTTCTCCGTGTTTGTGTAATCGGGGTCAGAGCCAGTGTCACGGGCTATCTTGGGGTTTTGAGTTTATACCATAGGTGGAAGTCAAGAATAGCTGTTGGCCTCAGTGCTTGGAGGGGCACCTATTTAGGATCAAGAAGTTCCTCTTTTACTAAACAATAAAAAAAGTTTTGCAGAGTTATAGACATAGTAAGGATAAGTGTGTCTAAGGGATGCAACATTTCCTCCCAAATAAAAATTTGCTGTTTAATGTTGACTCACTTCACTGACTTCAGTAGCATCAATTGTACTTAACAGCACTGGGGGAGTAGAATTGGCCTCATAAGCTTCTAAGCCCAAACCTGTTGACCGAAAAGAGAGGTAGAATCGTGTTTGTTGTGGAGCCTGGTTGGCAGTCTGAGACTTGGGCCTTGAGTCTGTTTAGGAACTGCTGTATCTCATCTGCTCTGGGGTAAATGTAATAGTTCTCAAGGAGTACACACGCTCTGTCCAGTCTAGCTCTGCTGTGGAACCAAAACCTGAAAGAGCAAAGCTAATGTGAAAAATTACGGAACTTTAATTATTTTTCTCAGATGTTAATGATAGTGTTGCGTAAAAGTGATAGTATTTGGGGTGGGCAGTATATTCAGTAGTCTAGGCAAAGTGAACAGTTCCAGCATAGTCAGTAATTTTTTTTTAAACTGGTGAGAGGTAACCATATAGAATTACAGGTTGGGACCCAAATAGATCTAGCATTGTTCCTACTGTCAGTATTCCAGAATCAGCAGTGTAAGTGTATTTATTGAAGTTGGACCGACAGCATGGTGTTTTAATGGGAATAGCTGGAAAATGCTTGTAGGAAAGTTTCACAGACTCCTGTGAAATGCCATTCACACTTGACTAGTAGCAAAATTTCCTTTTGGTCAAAGTTCCCTGCCTTTAGGGATGCTGGAGATCCCCAGGCAAGAAGTATAATTTGCTTTACTTTGTAGATCAACTGATTGCATTTTGAATTAAGAACAGTTATTCTTAATTCTATTTATCCACCCCGATACAGTGTTGACTGAAGTCTTTTAAGCAATGTTATCTGAAAGCCTGTATTAGCTTAAGGCAAGCTACACCCCAAAACTGCCAGAGTGCAGCTGGTTTATGCAATGATAAGGCTTTCAAATGAAGGTCGGAACCCCGATTACACAGCACCAGCAGCTCCAGTACTGCAGCTTGGCCCCATCTCAAGTGCAGTTTTGCCTACTTTCTGGCCAGACTTTTATCTTTCCCTGCCCCAGGATTACAAACACCAGGTACAATGGATGCAGGGCTCTGAATACCAAAGCTACGCTACTGCCCTGCCAACATGTGGAAAACTGGTGTTGCAGTGAGGAAGAGTAAGAGGTGGAGTGTTAGCACAGTGGCAAACTAGGTTAGGTCTGCTGAGCAGCTGGGTAGACTCTCCAGTTGCCATTGTTTGCATGCAATGCCATCAGTTTTAAAACTGACTTTATGCTTTGCAAATGTCTAGAGATGGACCTCTATTGTAAAACTAAGAGACTGGATGCACACCCTTGTATTCCCCAAGGAAAGATAGGGAGTTTGGTTTAAGCAAATCTCTCATTAAAAAAAAGATCTACTTGTAGTTACAAAACCACACTGGCTACGCTTGTCTCATTCTACATTTATCTCAGTATGAGCAACAACAGAGTGTTACTTCCTTGCAAGAGGCCAGAGTTACGAGAATTGTGACTTCTGACTTCGGGCTCCTCTTAACTGGTGTTCCTGTACAGATCTCAGCAGCGATGGGCTGGGTTTGCATCTCCTCGTGATTAATTGCATC